CCATGAACTAACTAATGTAATGACAAGCCTCATATCTTACGTTCACTACACTGAAGTCCCTTCCAACCTGCTTGGCATCCACCTTCCCATTCTCCTGTTGTCTTGTTACATTTATTAGCTACACCACAGTTGTCGTTACAATTATTTTCACAATTATATCCAAAATATTCAGTAGGACACTCTAATTGACACGAAGAATAAAGTTTTAATTATCTTTCTTAATGTTGACAAAATACAATTAATTTTTGTGCACAAGATTGAGATTTTTGTTTAAAATTTATTGCAACATTTATAACTCCAATTACCGTTTTACATAAGTTTCCATCATATCCAGCATCGCACCCTACAAGACACGACCCGTTGATATGGTTACATTGTTCATATCCCAGACAAGCTCCACATTTCTATCCAAAATCCTGTCCAAAATGGCTACCATTACACTCTGTTCAATTCAGTTACATTTTAGATAACAGCTTAGAGTTCTGTTAATCATTATAAATAACTTTTTAAATAAATAATAATGTCGCAAAATAAGGATGTCGCAAAAAAATAATTGGTGATCATCAATATTACCATTTCCACATTGATGTCCCTGATACCCGGGTTTACACCAGGAACACACACCAGTCTCAGTATGACAATAACGACAGTTGTCAAGACAGGGGAGAGAACAGTTAAGTCCGTAGTATCCAGTAATGCAAACTTCAGATGGCAAATTTATTTTACAAATTTGGGGATATAACACAGCTTATGTAGTTACATGTAAATAAAAATGAGCTGATAACATGCAAAAGAGAAACAACAAGAACAAATCAAAGTACTGGATGCACTTATGGGAGTTGAACATGGTGTAAAATAACATCTTTGATCGGGAGGTTAAGTGAGTGAACAATATTATTTCAAATACAGCCAACTGTTTCAGATTTTTACATTTTTACGCCGTCGGGCGTCGGGAAGACTAGATTTAACGCTTGCCGTCAGTATGTAGAGTTGTCGTTCGTATCTCTTTCAGTGTATGGCGCTACACTAAAAAAGAGTTCCATTACGAAAAAAGTTTGAGGTTCTTTATAATTTAGTTTTACTTTGAACGAAATCTTATATTCAAAATAAGATTACTTTATCATTACATTTACTTACGATATGAAAATTAGATCAATTCATTAGAAAATGACATGAACTATTTGTGGCGGATGTTTATGCATGTTTTCTGTTGAATATGATCGGAGTAAATCGGGCGACACAGTAGCCTCGCTTTCGGCTCTATATAATCAACACAAATTACTGCGCATGTTAAATACGTGATGACCATGGGAGATTGAACATAGTTCAACTCCCAAAAATGACATATTTCATACCATTGACTTCTACTTCGCATAGTCCATTATGAGCGAATTGTGAATATCCATCTGGTTACGTAATATTTTCTAATCTTTCATTAAAATAGATGACGTATTGTGCATGTTAGGGACAGGTTGTATTGGCAATGGCAGGAATCGTAGATCTGGTAAAGTTTGTATCATGGAAGCATAAGTGACCATCAAGTCGGTTCGTGGTGTTCGATTAGTACACATTAAACCCAGGAAAGCTTGCAGCATAAGGGTTTCCTTCATCTGGAATTAGAAAATACTCAATAATGCAAGTTTATTTTTAAAAACAATTAAACAATATGTTTCAAATTGATCAAGATAGATTATAGAAATTATAGAAGTTTAAGCTGTAAATAAGTAGTTGCAGTGCTGAACGTTTGTTTATTATGCGCCCGGATCGAAGATCCGAGGCGTATATTGTTTTTGTCCTGTTTGTCTGTTTGTCTGTCTGTCTGTTTGTCTGTTTGTCTATTTGTCTGCAACATTTAACCTTCGCTATAACTTTTGAACCATGAATGATTGAGACTTCATATTTGGTATGCATACATCACTAATTAAGTTCTTTCAAATGACACCAAGGTCAGTGACCTTGTGACCTTGACTTGACCTATATGCTAAAAATAGTTTTTTTCTGCAAACTTTAACCTTCGCTATATCTTTTGAATAATAAAAGATATAGACTTCATATTTGGTATGAATACTCCACTAATTAAGCTCTTTCAAATGACATCAAGCTGAATGACCTTGTGACCTTGACTGTGTCCTATATGCTAAAAATAGCTTTTTTGAACATTCACCATAACTTTTGAACAATTAAAGATAGAGACTTCATATTTAGTATACATACTCCACTAATTACGTTCTTTTAAATGACACCAAAATCAATGTCCTTGTGACCTTGACTGTGACCTATATGCTAAAATATGATTTTTACCTTTGTTGCGCCGGGCGCATAGTGTTTCACAAACACATCTTGTTTTTACATGATTTTCACTCAATTTTCAAATAAAAAGAAACATTAATATGTATATTTACATAAGATATGCATTTGGAATATGAAGTGTGAGGAAATCATTTTTATTGAAGATTATGTTCCATCATGATATTTACCTAAGAAAACGGAAAACGAAAGCTGAAAAGCAAAAGTAATATATTAAACTCTAACCCTCCCTTTAAATGTCATGACATTAATTGCATATGTTCAGACTTACTTTTGACTAGTCAAATATTTCTAGAGAAAAAAAAATCTCATAAGGACACTACTGGACGAAATGAGATTTGATTACCAAATGTTGCTGATAATGTTTTATAATTACTGTTATTGTGATATTCTTTCTGGTCGTATAAATCCTGTAATCCCGCTTCAGAAAAATTTGTAGATTGCTGATTGGATAAGAGATAACCACATGACGCCGTGAAATTTTCCGTATTACTTCGCCGTCGAGGAGTAATATGAAAATAGCGCACACGATTACGTTTGAAGCGTTGTTATTGTAAATAAAAATGGCGTATAAAGAATCGGTTTACGTAGGTTGTTTAGTTATATATAAATTTCTCGTTACCGTAACGATATTTTATGTTGAATTGTTATTGGATTAAAACATTTCCTTTATATTGAAAAAGTTCTTCAGCGGGATAAATTCGTTACACAGTCAGTTCGTGAGCTAATACGGATTCATACAGGATGTGAAATGGAAATCCGTATTGGGACTCTGCTTCGCCTCTCCCAATACAGATTTCCATTTCACACTCTGTATGAATCCATATTAGGTCACTAACTGACTGTGTAACTAATAATAATAAATGAAAATTGTTACTGTTGTTATTGATAATTCAGGTCACTAACTGACTGTGTAACTAATAATAATTAGTGAATATTGTTACTGTTGTTATTGATAATTGAGGTTGTTTCTGATAAATTCTGATATTTATTGTCGTTTTTACCATTGACTTTGATAGATACCAATAGATACTGTTGCTGTTCCGACTATGCTGAGAGCTACCTCTAGATATTATGATTATTCTTTTTATGCTTAGGAAGATGTAAAATATTTTTATACTTTGTTTGAATTTACTGCTTTCTATATAAAATTGACACTGAATTCAATATTAAAATACGGCTATGGGTATATTGAAAAATATATAAAGCCATTTAATAAAATAGTTACCAAATCAAAACAGGCAATCTTTTCATGTTAAAATCTATGAAAAAAGAACAAGCAGATTTAACAAAAGGAATTTTCCTTTTGCATAAAGCACAGGAGTCTGAAGTTTATATCGTCCAAATTAAAAAAAATCTGGAAAAAATATCCCACCCTTAACTGAAAAATACACCAGGTTTGCTATGTATTATTGGTGGACCCACCTTAACAAATAGATATTGGCTTGGTCAGAAAAATCTCGGAACTTTGAAATTTAGATAGTTAAATGTATGTTGTAAAAATCTTTTATTTAAAATCATTGGAATAGAACTAATGATTATTTGGGTAAGATGAAAATGAATACAAAATATATTGTTTCCTGTAGGTTTCTGACACGGCCGTTAAAAGTTTTTCACTAGAATAGTAGAGGACAGACCAGTTAAGGCTCCGGATGAATTTCATGCTTACATTGACTTCAATTGATAGGAAATCGAAGATAAGCTTGCGTTAATTGGCTTCAATGTGTTCATGCCCTAAGGTTCTGGGACAGGACGGGTGTACAACTTAAATATTACTTATAATTTGTAGTGATTGTAACAACTGAATAAACAACGCCAATATTCCGTCAGATACGGGGATCAAAAAATAAGCATAAAGATCAAGAAAAACATAAAGATTTATGAACCATAAATAGAAAACCTTTATTTTATTATTTCAAATAAAGCTTATCCCTTACAATTAAAAAAAATAATACAAATTATGATTATGTAATTTAAAGCGACTTTCTGCGAGAGACTTATTCTGTACCACAGTCACTTGTTTCGGAAATAATTTTTTAACCCATAGTATAATAATAACACAAGGTATCTAACCCCGAATTACACTCAGTACCCCGGCCCCTCCTCGAAAACGCATTTATTTACACTTTCAGATGAAATGCAATGGCAAACTTTTTATTACAATTGTCTTCTACGATAATTTATCTACACAACCATATACAGCATGTATGTCTTTGATTTCATTTATCTCCGTAAACAGAGTCAAAACTCTGCCCGCCGAGTGGAAAGTAACACTACATAATATTTCTTTACAATACTTGTCGAAAAAAACTTACCCCATACAACATTATCAGTCCGGTAATAAATCCTTATGTCATGGATGCTATAGATTGATGTCAAGTTGACCCACCAGGTGGCAGTTTTTTTACCCTTAGCTGAAGCTACACACTGACCTCCCCACAATCTGAGATCAGACTTAAGCCCATCTACTGCATTACTGGAATCAAACCTGCTATCAACGACACTGGAAGGATATGCTTGTCATGTCTGTTTATTCAACGCTACATTAACTAAAATGGAAAATAGAACATATCGTATGGTTTATATTTCAACACACAAGCTACATTTTTAAAAAGGTATCATGCGTTAACCATGTACTTTTTCTTTTAAAAAATATTCTGGAGAAATTTATATGACATGAAATTGAAACTTACCCCATACATTATTATCAGTCCGGTAATAAATTCTTATGTCAAGTATGCTGTAGACTGATTCCAGGTTTACCCACCAGGTGGCAGTTCTTTTATAGTCAGCTGTAATAACACACTGACCTCCATCGAATCTGAGGTTGGATTTTAGTTCATCTACAGCATAACTAGAATCATATGTACTGTCCGGTACCATGTAAGGGTATGCCTGCCACGTGGGTTTATTTAAAGCAACATTCACTAAAAATCACAAAAGAAATCAGTTCATCAAAGCTTTTTTCCCCTTTGAATGCATAAGGTAAATATGCATTTAAAAACTTCCATTTGATAACAATAAAGTTTTTTCTTTCCATGACAAAAATATTTTGCAATGATTAAAACTAGATGCTTTCAGGAGACAATTATATCCACACGAAGGTGTTTGCTTCCTAAAAAAATCACTCGTTAAAATTTGGTTTCACCAAGAAAAAAGTCAATATTATTCTATAATTTCCCCAATACATGTATGCGTCAAAATCGAGCATAATTTGTTCAGGTAACCAAGTGATCTATAGAGCTTCTTATAAATATGTCATATTCCTAATTAATTGCCAGTGTGAAACAACATAATTTAATTAATGATGTAAATTAAATTTTGATAAAAGGGGGAGGGGTATTAATCTTTGGCCCAAAATGGGAACTTATAAAAGTATTTTCTTCATATAGATCAACAATAAATAGTATTGTTCAGTTACTTGTAAAGAATTTATGAGCTTCATCGTCCGGCGAAAATTTAATTTAGAGTTCTTCAAAGAAATGGACCTCTTTAAAGTATTTGTATACATTTTTTTAAATATGTAAAAACAAAGTACATGCATTAGTTTGCATACATGAAAAGGGGGTCTGGAAAGGGGCTTCAGGAAGGATCTAATTAAAATCTCATTTCTTCTTAATCGTTTAAAACTCCTAAAATGAATGTTGACCTTTAATATTATAATGGTTTGTATTCATTATTCTCAACTGGTGGTGTCTCCATATGAGTGAAAAATTCTTGAGAGGGATGTTTAACAAAAATAAACAAATTAATGACACAGAAACGCTATATTGATCTGCATTACGAAATATATATGCATTGGCTTTTTCTATCATACATCTTTTTTCTCAATAACAACAAGGGTATTATTGTACCCCCTTTTGGGGGTAAAGGGGGGGATATAAAATTTTATTTATCTGCCAGTCTGTCCATCTCATTGACAGAATGTGCCTCTGTCACAATGAATTTTACCTTGGTCAAAACTTTTGAATGAAAAAAGATAAAGTTTTCAAATGTACATTACCTACAAAAACTTTCTATACTGTGATTTTTTTTAACCCATGTCATTGACTATGAAGTTTTACCTTCTTCCCCAAAATATGTTTTAAAATTTAATTTGACCATTTTGAAAAAAAGAAAAGAAAATTCATTCATCAAACATAATATGCTGATGTGTTTTATTGAGAGCTATTCAATTTTGTAACGTTTTAACAAGGAACAAATAATTATTTATTGGGTCTGCTTAGGATTCCTTCCTAAGAATCACGTTTATATCGAATTAAAACAAACTTAACAATGGTAAACAACTGACTGAAATTCACTATATATACTTTTTCCTTGGTCCTATCTGAATAATGATTAGCAAACGAAATGAAAACGAACAGTAACAAAAGAATCACCAATAATTTATCAAACCAATGATCAAATATAAAACCTGTCGCTGTAGCTATATACTGAGTGGTATAACCAACGATTCTGTTGTTTCCCGACACAATCTGCAACTACCTAAAACACACCCTATAAAAATCACAAAGTCACAGATACATCTAAAGACACACAAACACAAGCTAAAGTCACCAAGACACCATAGCTATCAACAGGACACGACTTTTGGTAAGACACAAGCTAAAGTCACAGAGACAACATAGCTAGTCACAAAGACACTAGAGAACTGGGTCTCTGGGCTGAGTGGTCTAACTCACAATTCTGTTGTTTCCCGACACAGCCCAGGTACTCTTCCCACGTCACCTAACTCTGACAAAGAGTTACACCAAAAGTAAACGAAAGCTGAAATGATCTCTTTTCTTATACTATTTCTCCTATGCCTAATTTCTACTCATTAGTTAATGAATCTAATGATTTGATTGGCTAAAATATCAACACTGATTGGCTACACATAATATGATTTGATTGAGTGATTTAAAAACCTATTTTAATCCACTTAACTAATTCTGATTCGTAACATTTTGAACAAAAACACAGACCTGCACATTCCTGTTACCATGAGCTACCTTCTATTTAATATGTTTTTTGTAAGATTTAAAGAAATAATTTAAGATATGCGTCGCGCAGTGGCTAGAGCGTCTGCTCTAGAGTCGCAAGGTAAGGAGTTGATCCTACCGTCGTGGGTTTCGAATCTCACTGTGGGACATGTAGACTGGTCCATTTGATGAGACAGTATGAACCATGGCCCCATGCGTGTCGCAGTGCTGGCACGAAAACGATCATTCCCTGCTCAGTGGCTAAGAGTACCAACCATTGGACAAAATTTGCAGTTCTCTATTGGCAATTGGTGGCGTCTTCATATGAGTGAAAAAAATTCTTGAGAGGGACGTTCAACAAACTATAATCAATTAATTAAAAGAAACTGTTCGATATATATTCGTGAAATCATGACTTCAGATGCTAATGTGAGACCATGATAAGGAATCAGTTTTACATAGGAATTGTATAAAAAATATTCAAAATTCTTCTTTTCAAGGACAAAAAGAGCAAGATTGAAATTTAAACTTTCTCAAGAGGTGTAGATTCTAGTTTGAACAAATCATGACCCGCTGGGTTAAGGAGATGCTATTTTTTCTGCCCCATTTGCCATCGACATAAATTTAATGCAAATTTTAAAACCATTTTATACAAACACAGGACAAAACTAATGATTTTCAAAATGATAATGATTTATAGCTAATGCGTAGAATATTTGGGAAGTTATCGGAACCAGGATGTTTGAGCATATCAAATATTTAATAAAAACAAAATATCATTTTTTAATCCCCTTTGACCCCCGGGCGGTAAATGATAATTCCAAACCGTTACTGCACATCTAAATGACACCATGAAGTCTCTCAACAACCATCTCCCTAAAGGTTATTAGACTAAGAAGTAAACTGTAGGAGGAGTTCAGGGAACAAGGGCTTTTTGCATAAAAAACGTCGTTTTTCGAGCCCCATTTGACTCCCACCCCCGGTGGGGGGTATTATTAGTTATCCAGGTTCAATCAAGGGTGTACGGGGATTTACTCCGGGTTTTATTCTCTACACCCTGAGGCCGAAGGGTGTATGGAATAAAACCCGGGCTAAATCGCCGTACACCCTTGATTGGACCTGGATAACGAATTTATTTCCTTTGTACCCATAAAATTGCTTTGTAAACATCAGAGTGTGTCTCAATCTATCGATTAGATAACTACGTACTACAATGCATCGTGACGTCATGCTATTTGGTTTTTATCATAGAGAATGTATGCATTGTGACTTCACGTTTTATTTACACCCGGCTCAAGTCGGATGCACGGATATTTACACCCGACTTTGTAACCAATCAAAGCTCGTGTTACAAGCAAGATAGGAAATAAAATGAAAAATTCCGAAACTTTACTGTACATCTACATGACACCATCAACAATCTCCCAAAAGATGATTAGGCTACTGTGTAAAATATAAAAGGAGTGTAGGGAAGATAAGTGTGACGGACGGACGGACGGACCAACAGACCGACAGACAGACGGACGGACATGAGTAACAACAATATACCCAAACTTTCTTTAGAAAGTGCGGGCATAAATTTGTATTTATGTATGCATGTAAATTAAAAGGAAACATACTTATTTGTTTTTTTAAATATGTATGTCCGGCTATGAAATACGCAAAAATGCCCAACATACTGAAGACAAAAACATTTCAATAACCGCTTACATCTTCATTAAAATCCCCAGAAACGTTTTGTTCTTAAAATATCAATCGCCGAAATCGGAACATTTGATAAAAAGAGAAATGATAGTGTGCTAATGAAAATGTTTTCTGATTTGTCAAGCTTGATTCATTTTGATGGTATAAACTCATGTAAATAGAAAATGGAGTAATGTAATTTTTGTTAAAAAATCAAAGTTACCAAAACAAGAGGAATAACCAAATACTAATGTTATATAATATACTTCCATGATTGAAAAAAAACTGACAAACTCTCACCAGAATGATCAGCAATAGTGGTTGTGTATGATAAAATCTTATAAAAATTTGTTAATGCACCAGGAAGTCTTAGTACGTCACTTGACCTTTCATATGTTTTCGTTCTCCTAGCAAAATAAGTATTCAACTCCAGATTACTAATTTTTTGACGCCTTATTTTCTCGAGATAGTCATTGAGTGATTGACTCATTAATAGCAAGACATAATTTTTACGAATGTTTATTACTTCTCTATATAATTTTAAAAAATACTAGAAGAGAGAGCGGAATTAGCGCAAGCAAAAATAAAGATCCACAAATAAAAAAGTGATTTACAGTAGTTCTATACATGTACTATTAATGCACATGTATCAGTAAATCAGTCAATTAATCACATATAACAACGTAATGTTAGAATTGCATGTACAGTTGTACAACTAGGATAATTTATTAACCTCTTTTGCTTGAGTCCTTTAGGGCAAAAATTAAAATACATCGTATCCTCTCCATAGAATTCTTGACTTCCTCTTTATCTGCATGTGAACTAAAAAGAGAATATCACGTACCCTTTTCCATATCACATTATGTATCAGGCCGAATGTCTGAGGGCTGACGTTTGTCGAGGGTTAACACAGGATGTGATGTGGAAAAGGAGATATTTTTTATTATACTTATTGCATACTTAAAGAAAAAACAGTACCAATCAACTTGAGAAAAAATAGTCATGCATTGATCTCTGACATCTACAAAGCTGATTGTCTCAAACGGTTTGGTTGTCTTTTTAATTCTATTTGATATATTATATATAGATTAACGTTCCTCTCGAGAATCGAATATCAAATATCTCACTCATATGGAGACATCACCACTCGCCGATGGAGAGCAATTTTTTAGCCATGTTGTAATTAATGCATAATTGTTCTGAGCCATATTGCACATAATGACGAATAGTTTTGAGCCACGTTGAGCCATGTTGTAAGTAATGCCTTGTAGTTTTAAGCCATGTTATCATCAATGCCTAAGTGTTCTAAATTCTACAGGTAGCTCCTTAAGCATATACTGTAGATCACTTAATTTTCGCGACACCTGCTTATTTTCGCGAGATAGTCATTGACTCTTGATTAGCGAGACAAAAGTTTCGCGAGTTGTTGTTATTACTATATATATTCTTAAGGAATACTATTACACGCGAGAATTAAATTTTCGCGAGCACACTGTCTCGCGTAATTACGCGAAAATAAAGTTCTCGCGAATAAAAAGTGATTTACAGTATAGGTCGCAGGACATAATGATCAGATTATTAGATGTTTTAAATGTATGTAGACTTGAAATACAAAAGAGCCAAATTACGTTAGTCATCATTTTATTGGCTACATGTATTATATCATCAGATTTTTTAATCAGATAAAGAACTATATGCGGTATATTGCATATATTTGCCCCCACAAAAGTCAAATTTTGAAAACTTCCTGAAATGTGCTGAATCCAATAAATTGCATGAGAAATATAAATTAACAGAAATATTACAGTGTCAAAGCAGTGAATTCACAATTTTTGTTTTTATGACGTCACAAACTAGTCCGATTTTATATCCTTTTTCAGAAAAAAGGACAAATGGACAAAATTTCAACAATTTTAGCTTTAAAATTTATAGAGCGCACGTTTGTTCAGGTTTAATATTGACATATTTCATTGATATTATCATTCTACACATTATATCAAAATATTGATCTTGAACACGCATGCGCTCGGTGATTTTTACTCAAAATATCGACAAAATATGCACTTTTTTTGTAAAATTCATAAAAAAAATGAAATTTACGTCACGTTTGTGACGTCATTACGTACATATGGCGTCATTACTTATGAAAATATTCACTTCTTTGAAGTCAGCATATACTCCCCTGTTAAAAAACTTGATTAAATATATCTCCATCAAAGTTTGATTTTGGGAGGCAAATATTGGTTATTACCGAATAAAGTTCTTTATGTTTCTAACAGAGATAAAGATACTCAGTGCAACCAAGTACAAAGCAATCTTTAAAATTGTACGAAATGAACGTAACCCTGTAACTCTTCAAGAAGCACTTATCTTCTGGTATTGTTGGAATATCGTTGGCTTTGCTTTCTAGTTTAATTGGGTCCATTTGCTGTATTATTATTTTGGATTGCTGTTAAATGCAGATACGTAACATGTAATAGACTAGGCAGATATATTTGAATGACATGGTGAACATTTACATTACATAGCATTATAGTTAAAACACATTCGTTGTATTGTGTTTGAGTGATATTTGTAAGAAGTGAATAGAACGAATGAGGATGCAAGCTTTTTACAATTTATTTAGGAATGGAAAGGTACCAAGGGACCTCATTAAGCTGATAGAGCAACTAAATTACCAATCAAAATATTTCTTTAGGCCATTCCTCTTTGAAAATCCACTTTCTCTAACAGTAAAGCAATTTTCAAAACATATTGACGTTCCATTATGGAAACTGTGTTGTGAATATTGATGTTAATATCAGAAATGTTCATGCTCATTGGTGCAATAACCTGATTATTTTGTTGACAGTGATTTTACCTTGATTTTATCATATTATCTTTTAATTGAAATTTTTCATCCTTTGACGTTACATGCTTTCCATCGGCAATGGACACTTGTATCTTTGTTATGTTGATTTTATTGTTATTTCTGTATCAGAATAACCTACAAGATAAAATGACTATAAAATAAAAACAAATAATACAGAAAAATCAAGGGGTTCCACTTAAATAAAATTAAAAGGGAAACAATTGCAGCTTCTATACAATATCAGATTCTTCCTAGTATTGTTAATGTCTATCCGGATTTTTAAAATTTTAATTCATTTTTCATTTTCCGAACTCTGTTCTCCATTCATCTGCTTCAGTGCGTCATATTGAGAGGATTCTCCCAGCTTTCCAAGTTGCTGATATTCTCCAGGGATATTTGCATCAGGATTATCATAGATATGATTTACCCCGGGAGTACAAGATTCTTTCATAGTTAGTGGTATCTTTGGAACATTTCTTTTCCTTTAAAAATCGAAGTTTAAAATGTATCTGATGATTCATTACGTTCCAATTTCTTTTACACAATTTTGATTTAAGCATTTTAAAATTGAATCAAAATATTCGATAAGTTTACATACCACTTCAGACAGATTATAATAGTGATGAAAAAGGCATTAAGTATTACGGCGACGATGACAGCACCAAGCGTACTGTAAAACCTTAATCGCCAGGCTGTTTCTTCCTCTGTACTAACTACAATGAAAAAATATATAACTTGCTTGAAATGTACTGAATGGAAATTTAAATCAAAGCAATTGCCGGCGTCAATTTGTTTTTGGTTTGTTGAAAAAAATTCGTGGTGTTTGGTTTTGTACTTATAAAGTGTTATAAAATTTTATATAAAAAGAATATCCTTATAACAGATATATAGAGAAAAGGATAGAAATAAACCAATTCTGAATTATTCCCTCTTATAATGTGTCATGGATCTGAACGGGCATTTTCTTTACAAAATATAGAAATTTTATTGTAATATAATTACAAGCAGTACATATTAATATTTATTAGCAAGCCTGTGATTGTTAAAATACAATGTTGTGATTCATTATATCTATGTCCTGAAACAAACATTGTTATCTGGGATGGATAGAAATACTCTAGAAATGCTTTTTAAAATTTGTTTCCAATATGTGTATGATAAATTTGCAAATACTAGTAGTGATCTGGACGTGTATTTCTTCCTACTAAATAAAGAAAGCAGCAAATTTGCTGCTTTTGAATGATAATTCAAGAAATGCATATATCGTAATTGTGGTTTGACTGTATATTTTTCGTCAGGCCATCAGCTTTATTTCAGCTTGTTTGTGGTTGCTGAGGAATTCTCATTCAACAACCTGCTAAAACGCTTTCAAGTTGATGGTTTCTAGTGCATCGAAGCAGTGCATGTCTGCAAAGATATCAATGTCAGTCCAGAAATCTTCAATGGGATAGAATTCTAGTAAACCTTTTGAACATAGAAAAAAGTTAACGTTTATTCGTATGGAAAAGGTGGCAACAAACTCCTCCTACATATTGCCTTCTAATAACATGTTGTAGATACAATTTGTGTTGATGAACAAGTGACTTAAATTTTCTAATGATATGAATTGAATTTCAATTTCTCACCAATTACGCATTGAGATCCCTTATATCCGGGTTCACACCACTCACATACGCCTGTTTCTTTGTGACAATAACGACAGTTTTCGGGACAGGGGAGAGAGCAATTAGATCCATAGTATCCATTCCTACAATCTTTAAAAAAAGTGAAACTATAACATTTTTTCTTTTTAAGGACAGATGATACAAACAAAAAATGGATGCCTGGATTCGTATATATTTTTCGACCTAATTTAAATGCAAATGATGGAAATAAAAAATAACTATAACATAAAAAAATTGCAAACCTTCTGCGATGTATAAAATTATACCCTTCTGAAAACATCCATATTGTTCTATACAACAATTTTTTACTTCAAATTCTTTTTTTGCGCAACTTTGAATTAAAAAAAATTACGCGGTGAAATTTATTCATTTGATACATTAAAGTATGACCAAAATTGTTTTTTTTTTTTTCAAAATTTTTGACAAAAGTTTGTTTACTTGTCCTTTATGCCAGTTTATAATCGATATTTTGTCTGATTAGTTAATCAAGATGTATTGTAATTTGACTACGACGAGTCAGTCATTTTAATACTTCAAATCATCTTGAAGTTTATTTTTTTTCTCGTTTTGTCCAGCAAATTTATTAATTAAAATGGATATATACGAAATATTTGATGTGGTATGAAACAATTAGCATGTTAAACATAATGTTAAATAAAAAAGTAAATATGTCTTTTATGCAAACTCAATAAAAAATAGTTTCTTTTTTTAAAACATTTGTAAAACATTTGATTTTAATTTTCATTATGTTACCAGTTGTCAAATATGTTGTTTAAACTGCAGATACGATTGTAGATCGTTAAATTCGTTTAAACCCATCAGATAACAATATCTAACGTGAAGGGATAATAAAATAAATTTTCATGGAAGAATCCATAAAATACTCATTAAGTTAACTTTAATGCTTCATGAAGACAGTGGAGTATATAGTTGTAATTATGTGCATTATAAAAAGAATGGTTATATTAATAAGTCGATTTTAACTAAAGTCCCATTCGAGTGTATTTCACAATTACAGAGATTCTGAATTACGCAAATAACCGATATTTTTTTACTTATACAAGGCGCCTACGGTTTTATCATGCTAACCCACGATGACACAGGGCATCCATGTTTATGATCTTACTTAAAAGACCGGAGCAATTTTCCTCTAAGAATAGGTATTTGAAGATTTAACATTCACTACGTATTAAGCGTCTTAGGTTTGAAGCGGTGCCAGGAACGATAAATCGAAAAAGTATCCCCCAACCCCGAAGCCAAAGTGCTATACTAGTCTTTTGGGGAACAGCAATTTCTGTTTTTGAATCACTCATATAGAAATTAACATACAGCAGAAAGTTTTGCAAAATTCTGGATTCCTTACCAAATTCACACTGGTGTCCGTGATATCCGGACTCACACACATGACATATACCTGTCTCTATATGACAATGATGACATTTGTCAGGACAGGAAAGAGAACAGTTCAATCCGTAGTATCCAATCCTGCAACCTTTAAAGGGAATAAAGAACATTGAAGCAATAATCTTAAACTCATTTGTCCCTTTTTTAAAGCCTATTCATGATAAGAATACGAATAAACTGTTCCGTTCGTTTTTGCCCGGGTAAAATTGAAATTGTTCATCCGTGTTTCATTAAGTCATCCATACGTTTGCTCTTATCTCGAAGTAAGGTAAACACAAACATAGGACTGACTCAAGCTTCATGAAAATGGTGTGGCGGTTTATTCAGCAAGGTCAAGATATAGAAATTGTTGAACAAACTGTCCTACTCAATTTTCGTGACTCATTTATCCATACTTTGGGCTTGCTAAAGCCGTTTTTTTTGGTCAGCCTCTCGACCTCAAAAAAATATTTTAGCGCAATCATAGGATCGTCAAGAAAGAATTTGAGCGTGTTTTAAAAAGAACATACATTATGCACTCGTCGAGATTCATTTGTATTGAATGCTTAAACGTGACGTCATTTGAGTTTTTACGAAAACATAAATACGTCGTTAACCTTGCTGCACACTTGAAGGGGAACTAGCAAGAAAATATTTTGTCATCCCACCATTAGTGTTATTTCTTGAATAAATAATGCATATACTAAATTGCAAGCATTCTCAACAGAATTGATCCCATTTTTTATCCATCCAAAACGGATGATGGCATATCAAATTATTTTCCCTGCAAAATATTCTTACAAATATATTAAAAGCAATGAATGTCAATACAACTTTTGCTCAAATATATTAAACGAAAGTCGTACTGATCAAGTATTACAAATACGCTTGTTTTTTTTCCTAATAAAGTATATTTATACATATCTCTATACGTGTATTTAAAAAAGAAAACTGAATGATTTCCTGCTGAAGAGCTTAATATACAGCATACCATATACCTCCATTTCACATATTTCATTATGTGCGAACTTTGAATATCTTTCTGGATAAATAACATCTGATAGTCTTTCGTTATAAAAGATGACGTATTGTCCATGCACAAGACAGGTAATATTGACGACGGCAGGTATGGTATATCTGGTATAGTTTGTATCATGGTAACATAGGTGACCATCTTTTCTGTCCGTTGTGTTAGATACATAAATGGAGAACCCCAGAAATCTTCTTGTGTAGGTATTAAATGCATCTGCAATTTTAAACAATCTATATCATAATGGAACATATATTTATGTATATAAACTCTTTATACGGTTATAAAAAAATTAAAATTAAGAATTATCATTATTATTATTCATATTGTTTTCAGTCTATAACTAAATTATGATATTAGTTTTTCATTCCCTCTCTGGTATCTGGAAGATTTGCTTTGTGATTGGGATGACGTAAACATATCTATGTAAGACTCTTTTTCCGAAACGCAGGTACGATAAGGCTTCCCAGAGAATATTGTAGTGTACTCTCTGCATGCACTTCTCTGAACTACACATGTATGAAGTCATAATTGAAAATGACGTCAAGTCACTGCATACTTGAGATGTAATAATGGGGAAAGTGTCATGAAGTTTACACCTTATTTCAATTTGCATATAAAGTTTCAGAATGCTAGTTTAAAACAAATGTGTTTATTTATTTTTTCAAAAGTCTAATATATCCGAATAATTCAGATAACTATGCTTTATTACTCTTGTTTAAGAGTCAGCGTGTTCAAACTACGTACGAAAATATACGTTTGACATTTACCATTTTTTATACCTGTGGACAGAGGCAGAATTCATTATATGTGTATAAAAGAGCCTGGCGCAGTGTGTTACTGAGGATTTATTTAATATCTTTTGTGGAAATATGTAAGAGGAATTTCCCCTCCCACTGAATCCTGCTTTTCTTTAAAACAGATGACGATAATCAGCGGAAAATACCTTCAGATTTGTCGGTAAGTTGAGGTTAATATGAAATAGATTGTTTCGAAGAAATAGAATAACGTTTCCCAAGCACATTTCTGTTTTCGTATGATGCAACGAGTTTATTTATGTGACAAAAAGTTAATAATAATTGTGTTAATAACCTGCGCCGAAGCGATTTATGTAAAACATTCCAAAAAATAAGAAATGACCGTCACTTGATCAACAAGGTCATGTGACATCATAACAAATATGTTTATATACAGCTAAGAGGATTCTCTGTATAATTTTGGCGTACTGAAGTACATAACTTAAAAATAAAATTCAAAATCATCTTTGCAATGCAGTGTTACGTTTCAAATGCATTTTAAGCTCCGGGAAGCCTTAACAGTACTGCGCAAGTGTCTGCAGTTTAAGTAAAAGTCGCGAGGAGTATGGAAGAGACCTTAAAAATAGAAATCGCGTTGCATGGTAGGTGTTTGCAAGATAAAAAACCTTCGCTGCTCAATGGTTCTGAGTGCCATGTTTGGCTCAAAGATTGAAACAGATTTTTCTCTTAAGCTGTTCATTCAATTGAATAAAGATATCTTTTGAGAGTTAATAGGCGTGTTCTATGAATGTGCTCGTCGAATTTCATTTGTGTGCACATGCATGCACATGCGGGATCGTGCGATGTACGTGTTAATAATTGATATAAATGAAGATTTTTTTTAACTTTCATATAAATATATTTAATGCATTAGAACTCAGAATATATCTAGGGTATATCTAAGTAGCATACACAAGTTGTTACTGTGACCGGAGGCCCTCTGAGTAATTTTGGTCTCTCGAGCTGATACTGGATCGAATAAGGAAGCCTATGAATTATTCTCTATATATGAAATGTTTTACTGTTGATTTGAATTTATTTATGTTCATTTTATAATAAACTAGATAACAATCATTAAGATGTATTTTTTTCAAATAGCTGTTTTATGAGTTACGTGTACTAAGTAGGTAAGAAAATATAGATCATTTTTCCATATTCCACCCTGTAACAACCCATGGCCAATATATGCAATGGAGTCTTCGGCCCTCTCTCTGATAGTGGTGTTCTGGGCTAATACAGAATGGAGTATCAAAAATGTATGACAGAGTCTCTAGATATAAAATTTTTATATATACAGCATGCAATGAAATATTCGCTCCCGTGTTATTTTTGCCCCTTTCGCACAACCCTCATTTGGGCGAAATGAAATAATACAGTATATTTCTTTAAATAAAACTATGAATGGGCGAATTTAAAACAGGGCAAAACTGTTTGCAAGTGTGAAAGGGTGAAAATTAAAAGGGACAAAAATAATCCTGTATACAGTATGCATACTCAAGATCAAGAATTTTCTTCACTTTTTTGTACAAGCTGGTAATAAGCAAAAGATCAATTGCATTACTAAAGTCTAAAGTGAAAAAAAATCAAGAACTGAATAGCAATATTTTAGACTCTCTAAATTCCGTTTTTATGGGCGAATGACTTTACAACCTAGTGATATTAAATGGAATATATGGTAGGATACACTGAAGTTTTTGATATCTGAGATTATAAGCTTCAAATTTTGCAGTTTGTTCTTTTTTCTCTTTCAAAATGCATATGAAGTATATTACAATAATTCTAGATTTCATCTTCTTTTTTATTTGAAAGCCTTAGGATATTTGGTTGTTCTCTTTGTCAGACAAAGACACATGTTAAGCACAGTAAATATACTACAACCATGCCAGTGATAGAATAAGACCAACTTGCTAAACACAAAGCCACATATCAGGGTCATCATTTTGTTTTAAATTATTTTTTAAGATTCATTTTATTAACAATCACAAAGTTGATTTTAAGGAAAAAAAAAAAAAACCTCAGTACAAATGCAGAAAGAAGTAACGAAGCTTCCTTTATTTTA